GATGCTCTAAGGGTGCCTTTCCTGCTTGGCAGAATGGGATTGAACTGGATGAGCCATGCAAACTTTTCCAGCTTTATCATTATTACTGAGGCCAGACAGCTATCTGTCGGGGGTGCTCCAAGGGTGCCTTTCCTGCTTGGCACGATAGGATTGGAATGGATGAGCCATGTGAGCTCGTCCAGCCGTATTATTATTACGGAGGCTGGATGGCCATCTGTCGGGGGTGCTCTAATGGTGCCTTTCCTGCATGGCAGAATGGGGTTGGACTGGATGGCCCATGCGAGCTCTTCCAGCTTGAGTATTAGTATTATTATGATTAGGTATTATATTATGGAGGCTGGATGGCCATCTGTTGGGGATGCTTTGATGGTGCCCTTCCTGCAAGGCAGAATGGGGTTGGACCGGAGGGCCCATGCGAACTCTTCCAGCTATGATGATGCTGGCTGGGCTGGCTGGCCGGCCTTGGGGGGGGGGGGGTGTCCCTGGCCCGTCACTCACCGGAAGCGTCCCCCGCAGTGCTGGCACTGTTCCCCGACCCACCCGTGGGCGCACTGGCAGTGCCCGGTGCTGGGCTGGCAGCGTCCCCCGTTGGCGCAGGGCTTCTCGCACTCCTTCTCGGGCGCCGCCGCCGCCTCCGAGGCCCCCGCCCCGGCCACCGCCAAGGAGGAGGACGACGAGGAGACCGGGCCCAGCGCCGGGAGCAGCAGCAGCAGCGCCACCGAGGCCGGGAGGCCCTCCCGGAGGAGGAAGAAGGCCAGCCGCCGACACCACCGCCCACACTCCATCGCCCGCCTGCCTTGACTGACTGACTGACTGAGAGAGAGGAGGAAGAAGCTTCGCGGACGGTGGCCGGGAGGAGGACCCCAACGCCGCCGACTACGGATCCCCGCGAGGCCCAACCTTCTCCCTTTCTCTCCTTCCAGTCACAACACTATTCAGAGGCAGAACTACGGGTCCCCGCGAGGCTCAATCTTCTCTTCTTTCTCTTCTCCGCGTCCCCTCCCGATGACGTCACAGGCCGCCCTGAACTAGAGGGAGGAGCTACAAGACGTCGCCTAGGACGTTTCAGGCTAGCGAAGAGGGTTGGTATCCAGGCGACCGACGAAGCAAAGTGACTGAGATGATAAGACTGGTCTTAGGAAATCTGATTGGTTGGAGTGCTAGATTGAAAGGACCACCAACCAATTAAAGACCTGGATTTCAGAACCATGAGGCGGGAGTGAAGAGGGATAAGGAGGAGCTTCTGGATGGGAATCCTTATCTGATTGGTTGGTAGATTAGATTGAAAAGACCCCCAACCAATTAGAAATCTAGGCCTCAGAGATAGCTGTGCCACAAAAGTTTAAAAAGGAATAGGGCGGGGCTTCGGGGTGCCAATCCTTATTTGATTGGTTGGCAAGCTAGACTGAAAGGACCGCCAACCAATTAAAGATCTGAGCCTCAAAGGAAGACTACAAGAGTTTGAAGATGGATAGGGCGGGGCTTCGGGATGGGAATGCTAATGTGATTGGTTGACATACTAGATTGAAAGGACCGCCAACCAATTAAAGACCTGGACCTTAGAGAAGGATATACTGGGAGACTACAAGAGTGATAGGGCGGGGCTTCGGGATGGCAATGCTAAGGTGATTGGTTGACAAGCTAGATTGAAAGGACCACCATCCAATTAAAGACCTGGGCCTTAAAGCGGGATATACAGGGAGACTACAAGAGTTTGAAGAGGGATAGGGCGGGGCTTCGGGATAGGAATGCTAATATGATTGGTTGACAAGCTAGATTGAAAGGACCGTCAACCAATTAAAGACATGAGCCTCAGAGAGGTCTGTGCGGGGAGACCACAAGAGTTTGAAGAGGGATAGGGCGGGGCTTCGGGGTGCCAATCCTTATCTGATTGGTTGGCAAGTTAGATTGAAAGGACCACCAACCAATTAAAGACCTGGACCTTAGAGAGGGCTATACAGGGAGACCACAAGAGTTTGAAGAGGGATAGGGCGGGGCTTCGAGGTGCCAATCCTTATGTGATTGGTTGACAAACAAGACTGAGAGGACCGCCGACCAATTAAAGACCTGGACTTCAAGTAGAACTTCCCATAGGTACAGAGTCATGAAGAGAGACTACAAAAGTTTGTTAGATGGTGCATCTACACTGTAGAATCAATGCAGTTTGGCACCACTTGAACTCCCTTGGCTCAATGCTATGGTTTCCTGGGTATTGTAGTTTGACCACCAAACTGAAAGAGAGCAATTTAAAGCAACCGTGGATAGTGAAATCCAGGCTGTGGATAATGAAACCCAAAGCACAGATACTGAGTCCTGATAAGCGGATGCTGTTACAGGCCGTCTGTAAATACATGTTGGATTTCTGGATGTTGGGAATGACAATGCTGTTTCTAATGATGAGGGTGCTTGAGATTCAGAGACTTACTTACTTAGGCAATCTCTCTTAGTCCGAGTAGGATAGTCTTCCAAGGCCCTCTCCAATGCCAGAGATACAGCTTAATGGTGTAACATTAGAAAATGTTGACCATTTCCGCTTCCTTGGCAGCCACCTCTCCACCAAAGTCAACATTGACACCGAAATACAACACCGCCTGAGCTCTGCGAGCGCAGCATTTTTCTGAATGAAGCAGAGAGTGTTTGAGGACCGGGACATCCGTCAGGAGACCAAGGTGCTGAAGTCAAACTAGACTTGCGTCCGTACCTTGGGAAGGCTGACTTGGCCACGGTAGTACACGCTTTGGTTACATCCCGCTTAGATTACTGCAATGCTCTCTACGTGGGGTTGCCTCTGAAGACTGCCCAGAAGCTGCAGCAAGTACAACGCGCCGCAGCCAGATTACTAACGGGGGCTGGGTACAGGGAGCACACCACTCCGCTGTTACTCGAACTCCACTGGCTGCCGATTAGCTTCCGAGCACAATTCAAAGTGCTGGTGTTAACCTATAAAACCCTAAACGACTCCGGCCCTGTTTACCTCTCTGAACGTATTCTCCCCTACGAACCATCAAGAACTAAGATCGTCTGGAGAGGCCCTGCTCTCGATCCCACCGGCCTCACAGGCGCGTCTGGTGGGGACGAGGGACAGGGCCTTCTCGGTGGTGGCCCCTCGACTCTGGAACTCCGTTCCACTGGAGATCAGAACTGCCCCTTCTCTCTTGACGTTCAGGAAACTAACAAAGACCTGGTTGTGGAACGCGGCATTTGACAACTGATTTAATTCTTTGCCCACATGAAAGGAGGATGATGAATGGGATTGTGATGGTGTCGGACAATTTGGCTCTTTTAACTGGGATGATAATGTTTTAATGTGTATGGTGCTGATATTTTAATCGTGTTATGAAGTGGCATTGTGTTGTTATTGTATATTCTTTGTATGTTAACCCATGTTGTGAACCGGTCCGAATCCCTCTTTGAAGGTGAGAGGGTCGGTATATAAAACCTCGAAATAAATAAATAAATAAATAAATAGGGGAGAGGACCCTTAGTTCCCACCAAAGAGGGAACGCTACCTTGGCAAGCCTTCAGAGAAGCCTGATTCCAGCAATTTTATTAATATTAAAAATTGAAATGAGACTCTTGCCAAAGCGAAGAAGTGGCACCGAGGTTTAATGAGCGATTCAGCTGAGACGGATGCAATGTGGTGATAGATCGCACACAAAGCATACCAGTACATTGATCAGAGGCATATTTATAGCAAAATACAGGTTTGAAAGTTTCAAAACTCCCTCCCTCTGCCCTTCAATGGGAGAGCTTTACCTGGTTCAGCGCCTTGACAAATCAGGAGGAGAGAGGCGGGATGAAAACAGAAACAATGAGCCGACAAATGAATCAATGGATGTGATGCCCAGTCTATTGTCCTTGAGTGGAGTTGCGATGATCCTTGATTACTTTCATCCTGGCCTTCCTGCCACAATCAGATAAGGCACAAAAGGGGAGGCTGGGGAAATGTCCGGTTTTGAATGAAGTAAACAAAATTGGGAAGGCGGCCCCCTGAGGGGCGTCTCGCTCCTATTGTGAAATGGCCAAAAGTCTGCAGAAGGAGGTCCCAGCCTGATGGCCTCAATCCTGGAGCCACATAGGGATTCCAGGTCTTATTGTCCTCGCCAGAGTTCTGGGATATGAGTTTCTTTTGTTGCCCCTGATTGCCCTTTCAACAGCTGGCCGCTTCCTGGATTGATTTACCCAAGGGGAGGGGAAAGGAGTGATAGGTTTGGGTGTCAGGGCAAGAATAAGGAAAATACATGGTGGAATACAGAAATCCACAGAAATTCATACTAAATATCTCCTTCCCCATCCCACCCTGCCAAATAAATTTAATAAAGAAATTATTTTCAAGCAATATGAGTCCATAGTTCATTTTCAGGAAAGTTCATGAGCGGGAAAGATGTCCTTGCGAGTCCAAAACATTAGGCAGAGCTCTTAAAGCCCAAAAGGAAAGCCTGTTGATTTCCCACTGAGCCATTAGGTGGAATTCTGCCACGCTGGAATTGAAGCTGGTCCTTGCGAAACTACAACTCTCATGAAGGGCAGAAGTCCCAAGATACAGCCGTTCCCCAAACGTTTCGTGGGGTCCTTGTTGTTGTTAATGCCTTGGCAATGTGACCAAGACTTAACCCCTACTGTGCAGTCTGGTGCCCTTGCCCTCTGCAGAACTATAAGTCACTCCGCCATCAACTCCGCTGGACTGGCCATGTTGTCCGGATGCCTGACCACTACTTCCCAAAGCAGTTGCTCTACTCTGAACTCAAGAACAGAAAACTGAATGTTGGACAGGAAAAGAGATTTAAAGATGGGCTCAAAGCCATCCTTAAAAACTGTGGCATAGACACTGAGAACTGGGAAGCCCTGGCTGTGCTGTCGCGCTTTAAGGCTATAGCTCTTAGTGAAAAAGGCATGGACATGGCATCTTTCCCCCAGGGGACTGCTTCTTGCCCTCCTTTAGGAAACTGGAACTCTCAAAGACCCAAAACACTGTAGATAACTCAAAATAAGATTTATTGTTCACAAAGAGTTATCCCTTTAAGGCAATAAGCTGTAAGTTTCAAAGGGGTGAAGGAAAATGTACATTACAGTCTCTGGTTGTTTTGGGTCCAAGGAGTTTTGAAGCTGAGAAGCTTTTCCAGGTCCCTCTTTCTCAATGGCTGTAAATGCTGGAGCAGTCCACAACCCCAGTCCAGATGGCCTATGTTTGAAGACACAGGGTCTTCCTCTGGTGCCAAAAGAACTGGTTTGAAGGCGCTTGAGACTTCCCAACGTCGTTCAGGTTGGTCTGAACATGAAGCATAAGTCTCAAGGGTAAGAACTTCAGAATTGGTGCTGAGAGGTAATTTAATCAGGGACTTTTAGAGCCAAGTCTCTTACGTCCATCTGGTAGAAAATCTGATGGTGGAATAAAAAAGGGAAGCATGCCTCTTCTCCAGGAAGAGGTGGAGCCAAACAATTGAGCTGAAAAGGCAATTCAACTGGTGCAAACAACACTGATTGACAGCTATAAATAACCAATCAATCCAACTATACATAAGCAGGGTAAAAAGACAGGATTTTAAAAAAACAGTTTAAATCTTGCAACTAACAGTTCTACACATAGGTGGCGCCACTCGTGCCATCACACTGGCCCTTGAGCGCTCCAGCTGGAGGTCAGCTGTGACCAGCAGTGCTGCATAATTTGAGGAGGCACGAATGGAGGGCAAAAGAAAGAAACGTGCCAAGAGGAAGGCGCGTCAAGCCAACCCTGACCGAGACTGCCTTCCACCTGGAAACTAATGCCCTCACTGTGGGAGAAGATGCAGATCAAGAATAGGGCTCCACAGTCACCTACGGACCCACCAGAACACTGATCATGGATGACTATCCTACTCGTCCAACGAGGGATCGTCTAAGTAAGTAAGTCTTCCAAGATCAGTGTATGTAGGTGGCTGTCATTAACTGATAGCCTAAAATAATGACAACAACAACAACAGCACTTTCGTAAACTTTGAACCTTCTCCCTTAAATACTTTTGATG